CCGAGAACTCAATATTTTCTTAAATTAGAGTTTACTTACTAAAGTGTATCAATTGTAGCCATTCCCCCGGGGCCTTGGCTCCCTGGATATTTCTGCAATTAGCCGCTCAGAGCCGTAGGGTGAAGCAGCCGCAAAGCTCATGCTAATGCACAGAGCATCGGTGAGCACAGAGCCGAGTCCCAGGGCAGTGGGTTTCCCAGAAGAGAACTCTGTGCGCTTCCCTGCCTGCCGGCCCTGCTGGGCAGCTGGCGCCGCTGGAAGCACAGCCCGACCCGCTCGCCAAAGAGAAGCACAGGGTTCTGTTCTCACTTGCTCCTGATTTACGCCATGGCCCTCTGTAACTTTCCCAAAGCTAATGGATGGCTCAGCAGCTTGAGGCGAGAATCAGACCCTCAGAGACTCGTATATTTCAGTCCCTTACTTGCCTGTGAGAACAGGCCAAAGGCAGAAAGAGGGGGTACCCCCTACTTGCAAATGCACTCATGCAACCCAAACACAATTAATGCCAGACGTCCAAACGCTGACATTATTAGTATGATCACTTTGCTGTTGCATGGCAGATGAACAAATTCCCAAAGATGGCCATCTCCTCTCCCCTGCAAACAAGCTAACTACAGTGGAAAAAGGGGCAATAAACAAAGCTGTAAATCAATTAAAACAAAACTAAACGTTAAAACAACTACACTAAAAGAAAATCTCACTAGTGCCTCCCAAACCCTGCGCAGTGAGCTAAGTATAACAGTCTCCCAACACACTGGAAGGTGGAGACCTATGTTTGCATATTTGAGATGGCTTACTGATACTCAACTATGCTGCTCAACTCTATGGCCTGTCCCATTCAGCCTGGAAAGCACTTGAGCCTGAGAGACGATAATGTTACACTGTTGTCTTAACATTTTTCTATATGTCAGTCACTTTAGAAGGCAAGTCATTAAGAAGCTTGCATAGCTGAAATTCTGACTCACGACAGAAATCTTCTGTATCCCATTCCAGTGTTAGAGCAGTAATGCCAATTTTCTGCTCTCCAAACCTCATTGAAACGTGCCCACAAATAGCTAAGAGACTTAGGCACCATAAATCACAAAGCTCCAAAAAATATATTTATTATTCTTAGCATTTTACGCATTATTTGTGGAGTAGAGTGTATTAGAAATTTCAAAACAGCAAGCATGACTGGCAAGGCTTGCCTATAGAAACTCTCTAAAGCTTTTAGAGTCAGGAAACAGATACACAAAGTTTCCTTATCTTTAACGTACAGATATCCGGATAGGAAACTACTACCAGGAGCTTAGAAAGGACTTTTTTTTTAATCACTCAAATGAAAATACAAAGTATAGGTGACTCCATGGAAAAATAATAAGATTTTTTTTAACAGTAGGGGATTGTCTGGGGAGGGAACCAATATTAATATTGCCAGAGAATATAAGAGTGAAAATTACTTCATGGCTTTTATACAAATAATTATTAAGTAGGGAGCAGTAGCTTTGACTCATCTGATTTGTTTTGCTTTTTCGAGCTGGAACTTTTTTTTTAGTACATGGTGGAGGACATTAGCGCTCATAACCCTTTCGCTCCCAGTATGTGCCCAGAACGTCCCAAGAGGCCAAATAAATGAGGAATTAAATTAAAAGCTGTCATCCGAGGATAAACGGGGAGACGGATACACGATATCCCACATGCATTGTGAGCGGCAGGGAGGCTCGGGACGGAGGCGGCTCGGCGCGCGGTGGTCTGTGCCGGGATGGGGGTGGAGGGGGGAGATCTGCCCCGAGGCACAGCACTGACCTCGCCGTGACTGACCCCCATGTACAGTACAGCTCGGCTCCACGCAGGGGCTGAGCAGAGATGAGACACGTTTGACTCGTGCCTGTGTGTGGTCCCTTTGCCTCATTTATCCCCAAACCCAGGAGAAATAGACACCTACCAGCCTTCGCTTAGGTTTAATGAGAGGTCGGTTTTGACCGTTCATTTTGTGGTAGAGCCCGCAGGCGTTACACAGGTAATGCCCAGTGCCGTCTCTTCTCCAGAGAGGGGTAGCAGTTGCTCCGCAGTTCACACACTCTCTGCCTTCTAAATGGAAACACGAAGAAACCGGATTTCTTTCTTTAAAAACAAATTCACAAAAGCTTTTTGCATTGTCCTTTAGGCATTTTTCAGAAGTCAAAACAGTGTGTTAAGTCAAGCACAATCAGACAGCAGTGACATCTACAGCACATGCAGCAAGGAGCTCAGTGTTTTGAGAACTCACAGACTCCAGTGAGCTTTATATGTCATGACCAGAAATAGGCAGCGCTCTCTGCAAGGTGAGAAAGAGTGACACTCTTATTGTGTCAGATGGAAGTTATCGTTTCAGTAACGAGAACTCCCTTAGTCTGCGCTGGGCACCACTCCCCTCCTGTATCTATTGCACTCCGGTGGTTAGATCCTGTGTTCCCCTGCCACAAATACACACCTACACGTGTACACAAACACACACACCTGCAAACACACAACATGTTAAAGAGAGAGTCAAAGGAAAAGGCTTTCTAGAATTAAATCTAAGCAAAAAGACCTCCCATTCTGTGCTTTCTTTTCTGTGGCAAATACTACAGGATGAAAAAGTAGAGCCGAGAAGACTGGGAATGGATACAGAATGCCAGAGGCTCAGTTATGATTTTTGTTCTAAATGCAGAAAAACGCCGCTAATGATGATCTTTGGAAAAGTACAGTTTCAACAAGCACTCTGGAAATTACTGTCAAAAAATGGGCTTTGGGTTCTTTTCTGTTTCTGTGATATTCAACAATCCAGTTTGGATTTGTTAGGGAGCAGTTTACCTTATTACTGCTTCACTATGAGTTTTAGTAGCACAACGTGGTAAGCACAACATTGTAGAATGGCTGTATTAAATAAAACTCAACATGTAACTCCCAGATATCTGTTTCTGCCTTGGAAAGCTCTCTGCTAAAAGTTCATTTGCCTCGGATGGTTCGAGGGCAGGTCTGCTTAATATAGAAATCTCTCTTAATATAGTTTATGCAAATCCTACAGTATTTAACTGGAGAGGAAATTCTTTTTGCTAATAACTGAAGCAGGCCATGTTGAGTTCAGCGGGGCTTGTGTCTCCTTTAATCTAGGGAGTGGGTAGCTTTTAAACAACACAGTCTAGAGTGAAAAATGAGGGGAGCTCTGCGGCGCTGCATTTGTAGCTTTTGTCCCTCCTAGGGCAGGAAGCTGCAGGAGTCGTCGTGTCGTGAGTCTTAGTTTTCCTACAAAAACACTGAGTGGTCACGAACTTTCCCCAGTTCCTTGCACAGGGAGCTCCCTTACGGGGAAAAGAAAAAAGAAGCAACCGTGAAATAAAACAAAAAACTCCTTGCTTCCCCCATCTAAAAATCATCGGCAGCTACAGGACAAAAATAAAAAAAGCTGCTCAAGATCCCTCTCTCTTCAGAGACCTGGACCCTGAATCAGTTTCCAAACTCAGGAGGTTCAGGCTGGCAGTTGCCTTTAGTTTCTACGCCCTGCACTACTGCAAAATATATTCACATAGTAGCAACTGCCCTAAAATAATGGCAGAGCAAGAGTGTGTTCCCCTCAGAGGAGCCCTTTGAAACAGAGCTGATGAGCTTTTAAAAGAGCTGGTATTTTTGTTGCAAAACTCATAAGAGACCACATTTCTAAATTATTGTCTACTTAAATAAAAACATGTAGTGTATTCATAAGCAAATATGTACAATGGAATACATACACAAATGCCTATAGAGCCGTTTATTTTTTAAAGGGCTGTCTAACTTCAGTCCTAATATATTGCAGTTAATCTCCTTCCATTGGTGAGGATGTTAAATCAGGAAGGTCAGTAGAATTACACAAATTGTCTTAATTCGTCTGTCTAGTTGTACAACTACAGTGATTTCATAGTGGGGTCAAAACTTTGTCCATCTCCTAATTTGCTGATTTAGGACTGCACTTTTAGGACGAAATGCAAGGAGGGATTGTGAACACGGGGAAGGTCTGCAGGCAGACGTTTGGAAGCTAAGATATGTCTGGTTCAGGGGAAAAAAAACCCAGGAATATATTCTAGTTAAAGTTAGGCTGGAATAAGTTAGCAATGACTGGACACCTTAGTCTTTCGCACTGGTATGTAAACTATATTTGAACTTTTGCTCTTGTAAAATGTGAAGGGAAGAAGGCCCTCTGCGATCTGAAGGGGACTGGCCGGGTAAGTTTCACTTTCATCCTGGCGCTGGGGCCCTGGGTGGCATTAATGAAGAGACGTGGAAATTATGGAGGGAAAAACACCTATCGCTGGGAAGTCCCCACGTATCATCCGTGGGGATCTGCCTGACCTGGGGGAGCAGGGTCAGGCCGAAGCCCCTCGGGAAGCTGAGGCCTGCTTGTCTCTGAGGAAAACTTTTTTTTTCCCCCCCATATAAATCCCTCTTTGTACA